GCGGGCAGGGAGCGGGCAGGGACAGGCGGGGAGGGTCGGGGAGGGAGCAGGTACCAACGGGTGGGGAGCAGACACGGGCGGGCGGGGCAGCAGCGGGCAAGGAGCAGGCATGGATGGGCAAGGAACAGGCAACTATGAGGAGGGAGCAGGCAGGGATGAGCAAAGATAAGCAGGGAGGAAGCAGCGATGGCAAGGGCAAGCAGGTGGGGATGGGAGGGAGCAGGCACAGGAGGCAGGGAGGAGACAACAACGGGCAGGGATGGCCAGGGATGAGCAAGGAGCAGTCAGCAATGGGCAGGGAGCAGGCATGGGCAGCAGGGAGCAGGCACAGATGGGCAGGGACAGTAGGGCACTGCCTGCCCAGGGGCTCTGCTGCCTGCACAGACAGGTAGGGAGGGACCAAGAAACCCTTGGGCATGGGCTGTCCGCAGGCTCTGTGCTTGCCAGGGGGCTGCAGGGAGAGCCCACCTCCTCCCCACACACAGCCCAGAGGGGCTACAGCATCCTCGGGGACCAGGGTGACCATGCCTGCCTGCGTGGCATGGTCCCCCTCCTGCCTGGGGGTGAACACAAGGTCTCGCAAGGTGACGGCAAGGATGTGGAAATGCCACTGTGGCCCACGGGCCCGGCGGGGCCCAGGCTGGAGTGGGATGTTCAAGCTCAGCCATGTGGCATGGAGTCCTGGCCACGGCTCACCAGCCCCAGCGCTGTTCTGGTGCCCAGCAGGGAGGCTGAAACCCATGCAACAGGCATATAGCAGGGTTTGGGGGGAGGGCGGGTGGTGACAGTGTGTGATGGGGAGCACAGCTTGTCCCTGTAGCGGTGCAGGTGACTGGGCATCCCCAGGCCAGATACAGGATGGGGCCCTGTGCCACCACGCTGAGCTGGGTGGCTCTGTGCTGTCCCATGCACATCACAGTGGAGACCCTGGGGATGTTGGGCTGGGCTGAGCGGAGATGTTCTCCCCGCTGACCAACATTGGCATCTCCCTTCTTGTCTCCAGACTGGGGACAGAACCATGTCCTGTGGGGGAAGCCAAACCCCTTTAGGGAAGGCAGCAGGTCTGGAAGGAAGGGCACAGCTCCAAGACAGGGCACAGTCAGCAGAGACCCCAGGGCCATCTCAGGGAAGGTACGCAGGATGCTCAGGTGTGTCCACAGTCTCAGCAGCGAGGTTGTGGATGGAGTGTGCTTGGCCACAGCTACCCCCATGTCCAGGGCTTCGCCAGGAGAAGAGGGGTCCCACTAGCATCTCCCCCCCAGGTGAGGTTTCTCCCAAAGGAAGCCAAGACTCCTATCCCAAGGTCTCCATGAGAAATTCCTCACCACCGCAAGGATGGTCTCCATGCCAGTTGGGCCAACAGTGGCTGCAAGGGGTGATGGCTGGGGTAGGGAGAGGCTTGGGGTTGGGACTCCATGGGGGCAGGGGGCCCGGGACATTCCTGGGCCAGGCTGCCGGGGAGAGGTGAGGCGGGCTCTGCCTCCAGCCTTATCTCAGCACCTCCGAGTGGGACCAGCGAGAGCAAACACACTGGAATTCTTGAGGAAGATGAAACGATAAAGGAAAGGCGGGCAGAGAGCAGCACTACCCACCCCCCCAAGCAGGCGGCATCTTCCGGCTGCCTGGGACACCCAGACCCTTGGACTTGGGGAAAGAAAACAGGTTTGAAGTGAGTCAACAGCAGTAAAAGCCAGCGCACTGGGGGAAGGGACAAGGAGTTGGGCCAATGGCCTTTCCCAACCCATAGCAACACAGGGCATGGTGCCAGAGCCAGAGCTCCTACGTCTGGGGACATCTCCCACAGCCAGGGGCCACAGGACAAGCCCAGAGGGCTGTGGGATGGCAGCGAGCTACCAGAAGTCATGCCACCTCCATAGCAGTGGGGACAATTCCCTGCAGAGCTGCCCAGGGCACCATGGTACCCATCTGTGCATGGACATGCAGTGGCCAGGGATCCTGCTGGGGTAAGAGCCCTCATTTGGGCACGCCAAGAAGACCAGGGAGCTTCCAGGTACCCTGCCAATGACGCAGCAGGACAGCGGGAAGTGTGGGGCTGGCAGGTGGGACACAGAGTCCTCCCTCTCCCGGGGTGCCGGGGGGCACTGGCTGGGTTAGGGCAGCCAGTGGGACCACTGTCAAGAGCAAACACAGCCAGAAGCACTCTCTTGCCTCCAACTCAAGCAGTACGATGTTACCCGCTTCCCCGATGCATGGACCAGTGGAGCTCACCGCTTCCTCAGTATCCCTGAGGCTGTTCCCCAGGGGGTGTAGGCTCCAGCCCAGCCCCAGGGCTCCAGTGACAAGCAGCCATGACTTGTGCAACTCCCCAAGCTTGGTGCTGCCTCACAGCGGGTCTCGGTCCCTCTGCTGCAGTCCCCAGCCTGAGAACCACCCTGGACCATGGCCCTTGCCCTCAGGGACCTGCCCCTGGGGCACGCGAGGGTGCAGAGCTGTCAAGCCAGCACCCAAGCCACACCTCATCCAGAGACCATGGCCAGAGCCCCGCTCAGCGCCTGCCACCACGGCCATCCACACTCACCCACCTGCCAGCCCCAGACCCGGGGGGTGCAGTGGTCAGCGGGGCAGCGCCGGCTCCCCCCTGCCTCCCCTGGGAGCTCGCTCGGGCTGTAACCCAGTGCTGAGGCTGGTGGCCAGGTTTCTTAGCAAGGCCATGCAGCTCCTTATCTGCATTCCTGAAACCCTCAGGCATTCTCCTGGCAATATTAAAACACAGAGTAACCTTCGTCCAGCATCACCCCCCCTCCACTGCCGTCCTCTGGCCCCCCCACCCCTCCTTCCCGCTGGGCCAGGGCACTCGTAAGCTGACTGCAACAGGGCATTTGCAACAACAGGTTGTCCCCGTCCCCGAGCGCAGCGAGCTGCGGGCAGCCCCCGACAGGCACCCTTCACCATCCCACCCGGAGCCGCACGG